CATAAGCCGATCGGATGGAAGAGGGAAGTTACACGTCACTCAATCCAACACCACCACATAGTAATCTTAAATGGTACATTTCTTTATAATTTTATTTTATTTTATTATCTTGATTCATTTTTTTTTATGTTTTAATACTTTAATTTCAATACAGATAATATCAACAAATTTATTAAATCAAAATTTATTATTAGTTTATAACCCTAAATTGTTAAATGTAGATTTAAGTATTATTCTTTAATAAGTTTCATATGATTTATTTCAATTCTAGGGTAAATTACATGTTTAGTATCTGAACTATCAGTTTTATTTCGTTTTAGTACCTAAGCTTTCATTTATTTCAAAATCATACCAAACGTTTATTTTTTTATTTTATTTTAGTACCCCGCCATTAAAAACTTAACGAAAATATTGCACGTGACATTTTTATAGGTAAATTACATAATTCATTACTTAACGATTTTCTCTCCTATTTTGGTCACTGAAATTTAAATATTTTCAATTTAATTACACATCTTTCAAATTGCTCATATTTTAATCACATTAACTTATTTTATTAATAATTTATGTGACATTGCCTTTTTTTATTATTTTATTAATATATAATTAAAATAAGAAAGAATTAAATCTAAAAGTTAGAGCGATTAAATTAAGAGTAATTTGAAAGTTAAGTAATCAAATTAAAAAATTATACTTCAATGACCAAAATAGGAGTGAGAAGATAGTTGAATAACGAATGATGTAATTTAGCCATAAAAAGTAATATGTTGTAATAGTTCCACTAAACTTTTAATGACAAGATACCAAAATTGAAACAAAAAGTAAACATTATATATGATTTTAAAACAAATAAAAGTTTTAGGTGCTAAAAAGAAACAAAACATATAGTTTAAGTACTAAACTGAAGTTTACCCTATATTCTATTATTTCAGTAAAATTAAAATTTCAAAAATAATGAAATGTATTAAAATTAAAATTAAACAAATAAAAATAAAGAGACTTCTGCTGGTTGGTACAAGTTGAATACAAACGGAGAAAGTAAGATTGTCACTTGTTGGTTATGTGTGGTGGAGTGCTACGCAGCACAAATGATGATTGAATTTCAGGGTTTTTTTTAAGCGATCAAATATTACTCGATTCCTGAGTTATGGTGTGTATATGAAATACTATTAATTATTAGGGTAAAGTATAGTAAGGGTCACTAAACTTTTTGAAATCTTTCATTTAGGTTCCCCAACTTTTAAAAATTGTAATTCAATCTCTCAACATTTAGTCCGTTTGCAATATGGTCCTCGACGTAACTGACCGTTTGACGCTGTTACACTGTCGTTAGTACGTTTGTAAAATGGTCACTAAACTTTTCAAGAGCTTGCATTTAGGCCCCCCAACTTTTAAAACTTGCAATATAGTCCTTAATTTCATTCTAAACCCTAAATTCCTTTTCAATCTCGAATTTCCTTTTTTGCTTCTCTTTTCTCATTTTCAGCGTAACTTTTCAGTCGGAGATGCATGGGAAATTCTAATCTAACTTTGAATTATGTGGAGGTGTTGACTTGAATAAGGGTCCATTGAGAGAAGACCCGACCAAGGGACTATTGGGACCATCAATGATTCAAGGTGTAATGTTAGATACATGTCATCTCAGGTGAAGCATAGATGTTCGATGAAATGCTTGTGAGAAAAAAATGGGGTTAGAAATACAGAGTTGACAAATACTACTAAGATGAACTAAGTATCATTGTTGAAAGTCACCAACAAAACTGAAATTATTTTGTATAAATGACATAATTATTTCTTCGTTTAATCATTATGGTTAAAGATTTTCCAACAAATGATCAAATATAATGAAATCCCAAACAACGCATTCACCTTTCAGTCTCTTTCGCAACTCGAAAGACATCATGACAGGGTCAAGTAGCTGCTCCAAATATACTACCCTGTCATGACGCCTTTCGAGTTGCGTGCATGCGTAATTGTCTTCTAAAGCTAAAATTCAATACAATTCAACTGTAAATTTTCAAAACATGTAAAATAATCCAATTCGTTCACGATATATCATTCCCATAATCAACATGAACTTATTAAAAAGAATACGAGCTCACAAGACGCCGAAAACCACAGGTCGGATCAATAAAATTCCCAGTAAACTAGTACCAACAATCTCTCAGATTGGGCCTTGCGATTTCACTATGTCGATACTCACAACCAATTCCCTGATTTAAAGAAAAACCAAATAAGAATATATAAAAAATTAGCCTAGGACCCTATTTCACTTCTATTCTGATGGACTGAATATCTTTCAGAAGGAGTACTAAAAGTTTTGATTAAGAAGAAAGAAAATTATATGGATTTGGTTCAAAACTAACACTGAATATCTAGATAATTGACATACAGTTCCAGAAACATAAAAATTTCAACAAAAAAGCATAATGCGAGCTAAAAATGGGAAAGTGCGAAAAAGGAAAAGCTTACTTCCGGATAGCCCAAAAGAAAAAATAAATACCTTCTTGCAAGTGAGGGGAGAGACTAAGAAATAAACGCAATCGGTATTGCGTTCCAGAAATTCTTCCCCCATTTTATCTTTGTAAATAAAAAGCTGAAATACAAGCACTGCTTGGGGTTACAATTTTACATGGCGGAAAATTGAAGAACAAAAACCAAACAAGAGTGCATGTGAGCGAAAGAGACTGAGAGGTGAATGCGCTGTTTTTGATTTCATTATATTTGATCATCTGTTGGAAAATCTTTAACCACAAGGATTAAACGAAGAAATTATTATATGCCATTTATACAAAATAATTCCAGCTTTGTTGGTGACTTTCAACAATGATACTTAGTTCATCTTAGTAGTATTTGTCAACTCTGCATTTCTAACCCCATTTTTTCTCACAATCATTTCATCGAACATCCATGCTTCACCTGAGATGACTTGTATCTAACATTACAACTTGAATCGTGATGGTCCCAATAGTCCTTGGTCGGGTCTTCTCTCAATGGACCCTTATTCAAGTCAACACCTCCACATAATTCAAAGTTAGATTAGAATTTCCCATGCATCCCCGACTGAAAAGTTACGCTGGAAATGAGAAGAGAGAAGCGAAAAAGGAAATTAGAGATCAAAAATGAATTTAGGGTTTAGAATGAAATTGAGGGCTGTGTTGCAAGTTTTAAAAGTTGGGGACCTAAATGCAAGCGTCTGAAAAGTTCAGTGACCATATTGCAAATGTACAAACAACAGTATAACTGCGTCAAACGGTCGGTTACATTGGGGACCATATTGCAAACAGACTAAATGTTGGGGACTATATTGCAAATGAACTAAATGTTAGGGGATTGTATTGCAAGTTTTAAAAGTTGGGAGATCTAAATGAAAGCTTCAGAAAAGTTCAATGACTATTACATACTTTAACCTAATTATTATTATTACTAGTATCTATTTAAAATACTCTCAATCATTTAATAATTAACTTCAATTATCTTACGGTAATTACTGATGCTCAAAACCATAAACTCTAAAAATAACAACGATTCATTTATATTATTTATTAATTTCATAAAAATAATAGTATTAAATTATTAATGAATAATATTATTTATGTATTTAATATTGATATAATAATATTGTATTATTTTAGTAAAGATATTTAGAATACATTAATTAATATTTTTTAAAATATAATATAATACTATTACTTTAATGAATAATGAATATAATTTATAATATTTTTGCTTCAATAGAATGTACTAATCTTAATATGTTTATTAATGAAATTAATAATAAATAAATTATTATAGTATTTCAAAAATAATAGTATTAAGTTTTCATGATAAATAGTATTATTTATTGTATTTAATATTTGTAATGAATAATTTCTAAAAAAATTATAAACTAGTGAAAATTGATTTACACAACCTTCAAACACCGTAAAACATTTTTCAGGAAATATTGAAAAATGTTTTCCAAAAAATATAATTTATTTTATAAAAAATAATTTTCAAAAAATGTTTCAGTGAAACGAACATACCAAAAATATATCTATTGATATAGCTCAACTATTGTTTAATAAATACGTAGTTACTTTTATCAATAGATGTTGGTTTTAGTGATAAGAAACTTAATATCACCTACATAAAGTCTCGAGTTCAAATAATTACGTACGTAAAAAGTTCTTATTAAAAAATTATCTATCAAAATTAAGTATGAGACATATTAATCAAGATAATATCTTAAAATCGAATGTTCAACCAAAAAAAATTAGACAGTTACTTTTCACTGGTAGTATATTCTCTTCTCATAGGATTTTTGAGAATTTTCTCTGCTGCTTAATTTGTCTATTCTATGAACCAAGCAAAAAAAAAATAATAATATCATGTGACAGTTGTTGAATATATTTCAATCTTCATTCATAATTATCTATATCATTATTTTTTATTAGAAGTTATATTGATATATAGTATTGGTATTAAAATTAACATGAATATTAAAGTATTATATTTAATACGAATTCTTTTAAAAAGAATTGTATTGTCTACCAATCGAATTTAAACTATGTTGTAGGTAGATTTATATAATTAAATATATTTTTATATAATTTATATACAATCCAGTATAATTAGATATATTAACGTAATGATAATGGTAAGTATATGAATTATTAAGATATTATTATGAAATAATATATCAAATTTAAAAAATACATTTTATATATAATCCAATATTATAAATGGATTAATCCTAGGAAAAATAAGTTGGTATATCAAATATTCTAATATCCAATCCAAAATAATGATGCATAAATGGGTAAATTTCTGCATACAGGGTTCGGAGCTTATCAGGGCTAAAGTGAAGCCATAAACTACTAGCAAAAACAGAGAAGACCCAAAATTCCATAAGACAGGACGAATGAAAAAGAAAAGGCTAGTTCATCATGGTGTTATTCCTAATAACATGAGTGCAATTACCATTAAAAACCCTAGAATCCATTGATCATATTAAGAAAATAAAAAAAAGGCCACTACAGTATCATATCCCCACCACGAAGCCTCAGCACAAGGTGGAGAGTAGACTCTTTCTGGATATTGTAATCCGCAAGGGTCCTGCCGTCCTCCAGCTGCTTGCCGGCGAAGATCAACCTCTGTTGGCCCGGTGGGATCCCTTCTTTGTCCTGAATTTTAGCCTTCACGTTGTCAATCGTATCCGAGCTCTCTACCTCCAGGGTAATTGTTTTTCCTGTCAAGGTTTTGACGAAAATCTGCATGCCGCCACGAAGCCTGAGGACCAGATGGAGAGTCGATTCCTTTTGGATATTGTAATCCGCCAAGGTGCGGCCATCCTCGAGTTGTTTTCCGGCGAAGATCAATCGCTGCTGATCCTGAGGGATGCCTTCTTTATCTTGAATCTTAGCTTTGACATTATCTATGGTGTCGGAGCTTTCGACATCGAGAGTGATAGTCTTGCAGGTTAGGGTTTTAACAAAGATCTGCATACCGCCGCGGAGACGGAGGACCAGATGGAGAGTCGACTCCTTCTGGATATTATAGTCGGCGAGAGTCCTTCCATCTTCCAGCTGCTTCCCGGCGAAAATCAACCTCTGCTGGTCCGGAGGAATCCCCTCCTTATCCTGAATCTTGGCCTTGACATTGTCAATTGTGTCGGAGCTCTCGACTTCAATAGTAATTGTCTTGCCCGTTAGGATTTTAACAAAGATCTGCATGCCACCGCGTAGACGGAGGACCAGATGGAGAGTCGATTCCTTCTGGATGTTGTAATCCGCCAATGTGCGACCATCCTCAAGCTGTTTTCCGGCGAAGATCAATCGCTGCTGGTCCGGAGGGATGCCTTCTTTATCTTGAATCTTGGCCTTAACATTATCGATGGTGTCTGAGCTTTCCACCTCGAGGGTGATTGTTTTTCCGGTGAGGGTCTTCACAAAGATCTGCATATTCGACTACGAGCAAAAGAAGTAAACTTTAAAAACAATGACGAGCGAATTTTTATTTAGAAAGAGGGAAATAATTTGAATTATTTCTTTTAAAAATAAATTATATTTTATTATTAAATTCCACACTTATTAATATTTATCATTAATTTTATATATTAACTTGGATTTAATTATAGATTTGAATTGGTTTTGGACCTGATGGATAGGTGGAGCAAGGATAACCGTATCAATATAATTTAATAATTATTTTTGTACTTTACCCAATGTTTTTTATATATAGTTCGGGTCAACACTCTAATATCTTGCCTTTTGGGACAGTAAGAAGGTCATCGAATAGTGACTTTATCTTGATGGCTTCTGTTGAGCCTTAAAAGCCATCTTGTTTTTGTTCTCTTTTCGAAGTCTCAAGGATTCTATATAGGTATTGGGGTCCTGCCTGCCCATTGCCGTTAAAGAGCTTTGGAGGCAGAGGAAGTGGTCGAATTGTGAATTTGGACACTGTCAAACAAGAATTTTAATGTCGGATTCTGCATTTTGTAGGCACTTGAGCTTTTACCAAAAGTGGCGGCGGTGCTGGAGGTGGAGAATCTCCATAACAGGTCGTTCACACTAGACAAAAACTTTGGTCAGCAATTACCGGTTACACTAGTCAACAACGGCCGTCCATGATAAATTTTGATTAAATCCATAAATTAAACTAATATTTTATTTAAAAGTCAACATTAATATTTTACTTAAAATTTACCTACTAAATTAGTATTTTATCTAAAATTCAAAGATGAAATTAACAATCAATCTTTTTTTTATTAACATACCATGACATCAAAATAATAACATTTAACACGATAATGATCAAAACACTATAAAATAATTTTATAAATGACAAGAACATTACCTTTTTTTTATTTTAAATTTGATGACAAAAACTTAAACTTGTAAAATGGAATAATTTTATAAATGACAAGAACATTACCTTTTTTTTATTTTAAATTCCATAGTTTACACTAAACTATTTTGTAATTTATAATTTTTATTATATTTTAAGTTAATAAAATATCAATATTGAGTTACAATAAGTTATTTATATATTTTTATAATATTTCATTTATCATAATGTTAACACATTTAAATATCATTTAAATAGATACTTTTATTTTACTATATCATATCTAAAATCAACATTTCCTTCCGATAAGCACTTCTTTCCCCCACAGTGCTCAAACATTTTCTAGTTAACACTGGCTAAACCCTAGAACGTAAAAGGTCCAAAGTAAATACAAAAACTCAGTAAGTACAACGCAGACACCTTGATCCAAAATCAAACCCTAAATGAAACATAAGTTTATAAATGGAATAATAAAGGGCATGGTGAAGTAATATATATCAATTGCACGCAGGCAAGGGTTAGTCTTATGAATTTTGTTTTTTCTCTCAAATTGTTAATCTATAATCATCCTCTTTACCCTACATGAATTTTGCAAACATTTCCTCATAGACCTAATAAAGTTGGTCGCATGAAGCTCATTGGGATGTTGTAGAATACCATCACCATTCATCAAGTCATCTATGTACTACACAATAATCCAAAGCTTAAAAAGCACCAATCCTGCACTAAACCAGCCCTAAACAAATGCAAAAATATTGGGGGGAGGGGGGAATAATAATCAAAAGCTACAGCTGAAGTAGTAGGGGAAGTAGAGTAATGATGAGGTTCAGGAGGCGAAAAAATTGAGAAGTCTGCGGGTAAACATAATTAACTATATATAAAGTGACTAAACGAATTATTTTGTCCAACGAAAACACAGAAATATCACTAGTTTGTGGTATGTACACTTCCTAGAACTCGGACATTGACATAAACCCTTTCATGGCAATTACCATTCAGGGGTAGCTGGGAATATGATAAAAAAAGTAATGTTTTTGTTTTCCTACTTTGAAACAAGATGAACATGACTAGCAGTCATTGAATGTTCAAATTATTTAACACCTGTAGAGGAATAACAAATTAATAAGAGAAATTCCTCCGTCCAAGTCAGTAACGAATGCATACGTTTTGCAGTTCCTGCAGAACTGACACCAAACAATGTGTATGAGACCAGATTATGAACCATTCATAAATGAAACAGACGTCAAAGAGCGAAGGTTTTACTTGAAATCTATTCTCTGGAATCTCAAATTTCCCAACCTAAGCACCAAAGTACTGTATCAAGTCATCGTCCAGTAGTTCATCTAGTGAACTTGTACCATCAAATGGGAGCTCAAAGGGGCTGTGGAATCCACCAAAAAATGAAGGATCGTTTGTTGGAGAAGCAAAGAGATTATGAACAGCTCTGTCTTGCTCATTCTCATTATGCAATAGGTGATGCAATTCTCCCCCAGCAATTTCATGTTCATTTCTAACCTGTGCTGACACATCAAAACCATTCTCTGGCCTAACATCCGTTGGTACAATCATCTCCATATGAGTTTGATGACCATCATTACCGGGCCTAAATTCGGTCGAAGGAAGATAAAACTCACATGTAGCACCATGGTGCAGCTCAGCATGTTGCACCAATGGATAGAGCATGGGCCTTCCATCTACATACATGCTCTGTGTGGAAATCTCAGTAGAACAAGGAATGGCAGGATAACGGCAGTATCCATTTGCGGGTAGATGTGGCTGAACATCTAAACTTTCCTCCACATGTCTTAATGCTGCTGTACTTGCATCATTTTCCCGCTGAGTGTCAGGCATATGATATTCCATGAATGATGCATCGGTTTGGTTGATGTCAGGCAAAGTGCTTATTGACTCGGTATTTACACGTCCATCATGGTTTGGTGGCATAGGTAGTTGATCTCCATGGGTTGGCATAGGTTGTTGATTACCATGGTTTGGCATGCGTTCTTTATGACCATCACTTGATCTTAAACGAGGTCTCTTCCTCCTAGGTTGTTTTTCCACTTGCTCATTGTGCTGTAATGGATGTGAATCATCGTTGCTAATATAAGCCACAGGCTCGACAACGATCGGTTGATTTCTCTGCTCATCTTTGGAAGAGACCGAACCTACTCCATCATCAACACCATCAACATCATAATCACTGTCACTACTGAGAGCAGGTTGATTCTTATCACCATGTCCACCTCGGGGCATTTCAGTTAAGCCAGATGTTCCATTATCACTGATAGGTTGCCGAATCAGAGGTTCCTCTCGGCTCAAGACCCCCAACCAAATTGCACTCTCCTTTGCTGTCATCTTATCCTGTAAACATTTTGACTTACGTACATGCCTCCGGATCTTGGCAGTATCAGGCGACATGTGCTTTATCACGGCTGTTAACACTCCAACTTTCCACATCTTCTTAAGATCATGTGGCTTCTTATAAGGAGGACTTTGACCCTGTTGAAGCCCTAGTGGTACCCACCAATCTTCGTTTCCAGTAGGCCACCAAGGCGGAGGAATTCTCTTTTCTAACGGATACTTCCTCTGAGGGGGATCACAGTGCTGCATCAAAGAAGACAAGAGGGATCCAAGAGTAGCATCTTGCAGGTCTTTGAGACTGGTATGTTGATTTCCATTTCTACCATCACCGGACTCGCTCATAGCTAAACAGTCCGCCTCATACTTGGCTATGGCTGCAGGCCCATTCTTATCGAACTTTACCTTTTCTTTCCACCAAGCTCTTAGATTATCGGACGAACCACTTACAGGCTTACCCTTCTCTGGAATGATGCCATATACAAATCCCCGGGCTTTGCAAACTTCCATTAGCTTCAACATGTACTTAAGAATCCCGTCTTGAGCTCGGGACATTTTCTTCCTCTGAGCTTGATCAGAGGTCTTCTTCGACTTTTGCTTTTCCGCAGCCTGTTGGGCCATTATCTTCTGTCTTTCCTTAATCCTTTTGAGTTTGATACGATCTTTCCACATCCGTCTCTCCAATTCATCAGCTTCAATCTCTTCGTCACTGACATCTTTCTCCGCTATATTTTCACACCTTAAGTCGTCAACTTCAATGTCGGAACTGTCAACCAACAAATCAACAAACATCATAACGTGCCCCGTCAGTTCAAACAACACTGAAATCCTTCGCTGGACGAAAAGGACATAAACCCTAATCCAAAATTTGAACCTCAATTCTACCCTTTTATTTCTACACAATCCACATTACTGAAGTTAACAAGCCAAAAAAGATTAAAATTTGAGAGCATTTTATTTGTCTGCTCAGTAAAATATCAATTACAGAATCCCATTCCTTATTCATCAAAGACACAAACAAATAGATATATAAATGTCAAAAAAATGCACCCCGTCATATTTCCTTAATTCTTACATCCATAATCAAATCGTACAAAATCCAAAATCAAATACTCCAAAAATCATCCAATATTGAAAAAAGAATATATTAAATTCCTGGGTTTAACTTTTTACTAGAAAAGTAAAAAAAAAAAAAGAATGGAGCTTACCTAATATCAGCTCCAATATCTTCCAATTCTGCCATGGAAAAAGGGGGTAAAAGCTCGAAATCTTTTAACTTCGGATCGCGAGACAAAAGGGTTAGGAGATTTAATTGATTCTCAGGTCAAGGAAAGTATTCGGGGATTGAAATATAGGAGAAAAAACGCAGGAAATCAGAGTAAAAGATGGGTTTTGATTGCTCGATAAAAGATTGCGAATTTCAATGCAGAAAAAGTTTTGGGAGAGATGGGCAGGCGAAGGCAAAGGGAGCCTGAAGTGGAAGAGAACAATTTGGAATGCCCATTTATGGAGGGCTGATCTCCTGCTTTGCGTCCACATACATGCATTTTCTTTCCCCTTTGTCTTTTATTGCCTTTTTTAAAATATTTTTTTTATTTATTTTGACTTTTTATTGTTACTTATATAAATTAAATATTTACGATGGTAAAATATTATATTCCAATTTGAAAACAATAAGACTGATTAAAAACAACAATGATAATGAAATTAATTAGTATAATAGTGAGATTGACTGATTGAGTAACATAAGAAGATGAAAATATAGTAAATGGTGGCATGCATTTTGATTCGATCATACTAATAATATTGAGATTAAAGTATATAATGTCTAGTAAGAATATAAGATTAAAATATTAACCACCGCAGGCGTGACCCAGTTGGTAAAGCAAGAGCTCTTAGGATTATGTGCTGGTCTCATATCCTAGGTTCGAACCGCGCTGGCTGAGAATCATAGAAAAAAGCGAGGGGACAGAGTGGTGGGTTCTTTGAGCCTCTCCGAAAGTTGTCTGTAACCTTAGGAGGTCATACGTTATAAAAAAAATTAAAATATTATATATTTATAATCAAAGTTATATTCGTATTAAATAATACATTATAAATAAAGATAATGTTTATATGATTAATTATTATTACCGATAGATCTCTTCCCATAAGATCTTGAAAGATTATTTTTAGATGTAGGAAAATTATACAATATTGTTTTATTGAGTACATCGATTATTAGTCGATTAATCAATTTAATTTAGGATAAAATACACAAATGGTCCCTCAATTATATAATATTATTTTATTGAATTTTTCGACTATTAAAAGTTACAAAATGATTACCTGACTATTCATTGTGTTCCAAACTCGTCCGTTTTCATTAAAAAATTGATGGTAGTCTAAGTTGGACATTAACATGCTGATTGAGATATGATAGTCGTTTGAGATTCTGGGTTTATATTATATCATAGCTTAGTTAGTATGTTAACATCAAACTCAAACTGCCATCAAATTTTAACATAAAAAGACGAGTTTGGAACACAATAAATAATCGGATACAATTCTGTAACATTTATTGGTTAGGGGACTTAAAAAATAACATCTTATAGTCGAGACTATTTTGTAAATTTTAACAATCAAAGGACCCAATAAAGCAACACCTAATTTACCATTTAACTTATTTATTTTTCATCAACAATTCTTATTCATTTTTTTAGTTGTGATTGAAAAGAAAAACAGTGAATCAAAGTAAAATTTCATTAATTTATTTTAGAAACTTTTACATGGTTAGAAAAACAGTAACTTGCTAAAAGGCTATATATTAAAAATTAAATTTAACTCTAAAAAGTAAGAGTTAAAATAACAAAAATTGTAAATATTGAGGGTTAAAATTATTCTCGTTCCTTAAATTTATCGCAACACAGCTTAAAAGGGTGCCACTTGGAACAATTTAAATGAAATCAGTACTAAATTGATAATAATATAAATTTGGAGATTGAAAATTTAAATTATTTTATTGATTTGACTACTGAATTTTAGGGTTGTTCATTCGGTTAATTCAGTGGTCGAACCGACTGAATTACCATTAACTGAATTAATCGAACTTTTTTTTCTTTAACCGTTAATCGAACCGAATTTTTTTTCGAAAATATTAACCGAACCGAATAAAATTCGGTTAATTTTCGAATTAACCGATTTTTTTTAGAATTTTGAATTTATATACAAATTAAATATTTTTTAATTCAAAAAAATAGTTTATAATTAATTTAAATAATATATAATTATAAAATAAAAATTTTATATAAATTTTTTAATTAATTAATATTGATTTAAGTTTAAAAGTTATTGGATCTTAAATTATTAATTGGGTTTTAAATAGTTTGGGCTTAGCCCATATGTTATATATAATATATTTAATATTTTTTTAATTCAAAAAAATAGTTTACAATTAATTTAAATAATATATAATTATAAAATAAAAATTTTATATAATTTTTTAATTAATTAATATTGATTTAGGTTTAAAAATTATTGAATCTTAAATTATTAATTGGGTTTTAAATGGTTTGGGCTAAGCCCATATGTTATATATAATATATTTAATATTTAAAATTTAATTTCGGTTAATTCGATTAATTAATCGATTTCGAACCGAATTAACCGTTAATCGAATTCTAAAAATTTTCTTAATCGTTAACCGACAGAACTAATTCGATTCGATCGGTTAACCGAATTAGTTCGAAAATTTGAACACCCTACTAAATTTTATACACTAAAATAAAAAACAAAGTAGCTGAGTGTCTAAAATAGAAATTTACCCTATATATGTTTGGATCTATTTTCCTTTTAAGTTTAACCGCATGGAAAGCTCATTTTAGAAATCTCCCCCCCCCCCCCTGCTGTTACCCTACCAGATAAACTCTGGTGGATGTTACGATCACAGTCGCTCACACGCCTCTCCATCCCGAACCACAGTAATAGAATTCTATAGAAAAGAAAACTGCAAGTGGAGGTGTAGCAAATACTTCTGTGCCCCTCCATTTCTTTTTAATGAAGCAAATGATGAATCTGTACTCCATTTCTTTTTAATGAAGCAAATGATGAATCTGTCTCAAACTCATTCGATGAACGCGCCTTTTGGAGGGACCAGCGCCTCCGGAATGCACACCAGTGTTCCCCACCTCCCTGCAAGCCTCTCCAAGAATGATTCTTGCCAGCATAAGAGGACTCCATACATTTCAATCAGATAGTATGCCATTGGAACTTCATCATCATTCAGAAGAGGAGCCAACCACTCAAACCAGAAAAATAAGTCTCTTTTTTTGTTCCACGTTTCCGAGTTACTCTTTAATCGATCGGAAGGTGATAATACATGAATTCCATGCATAACCCCAGCTAGCGACCTTTACTTGGATTCCATCACTGGACAAAGCCCTCTGCACCAGATCCAAGTCAACGGATGATTTAACTATCCCTGTTAAAGAACATTTCATCCAATTCGATTCATCTGGATGGATATGCATCTCCCAAACATTCCTCATCCCTGTTGCAGCCTTCATATTACACCCTCTAAACTCCCGGTTTTCACGTTCAACCCTCAGCCTTCCATCCGAGACCAGTGCTTCTTTGTAGGTTCTATCACCCTTTATACTTCTCAAGATTCAACTCCCTCTGTTATCCTCCTTTCTTCACCTTTAGATGGCTTCTTCGCTTCCGTCAGGGCTCTATCTGCCTCAACTACCCTTCTTCGATGATTCTGACATTTTGCAGCCCCTATTGAGGCTCTTCTCCCATCGATCCACGTTCCATTGACATTTTCGATAGCTTTCCTTAGTCCAACCTCATTTGCAAACTGAACAAAGGCGAACCTATAGGCTTTGTACTTTGGCTTGTTCTTCAGACTTGGAATAAAAACCCTAACAACAGGACCCTGGTAATGGAAGAGTTCCCTTAACGCTCTCCTTGAGACTCTCTTTCTCAGATTGTCCACGTACGCTTTCCATTCCTCACCGGATGAAGAATGACTTTTCAAGTTCTCTCTCGCTCTCTCTCTCACGCTCTCTCTCTCACGCTCTCTCTCTCCCACTCTCTCTCATTCTCTCATAATATGACATTTAAAATAGAAGACATAATTGAAGAGGGATAGATGACTAAGGTTCTGATTTTTCCAGAAACCTTGTTTTATGTAAAACTCTATTAACTTTTTGATAACGAATAATCCTATAAACTCTGTAGTAGAGTATTTATGCTATAACTTTTACTAAAAGTCGCATGCTAATCACATTTCCCATTAAATATTTAATAAAAGATACAAAACATAAACTCAACTAAAATAGTGTAGAACACAAATGATAAAACTAAATTCAATGCTCATCATCAAAGGGGGGCAGTTTTGGTTTCAGTGTACATTGCTTTTCTTAATGTTATTTTCACCCCCTCTCATTTTCTGTCTGCTTTCCATTATATGATCACTCTGCCAAATTTTAAATGCTTATACATTTTTGTTGTTAGCTGCTCCTGCTTCTTGTATTTACATTAATGAAAGATCGTCTTTTCAGAAGCAATATAAAATTGTATGTGTTTAATTGATGCATTCGATGCTCTCACTGATTATTTTCATCTGCAGCTCATATACCCTTATATCTGTATCCTTTCCTCAATACAACAAGTAAATCAAGGCCTTTTGAGTACATGAGGCTTACTGGCTTAGGTGTCATTGGTGCCTTGGTGAAGGTAATTATTCATTCTTTGATTTGAATTGATTGAGTTGCGTGCATTTTGATCTTTGTAGTGCTGTTATACACGTTAATAGAACATGCTAGGCTTAAGGAAATGCATGATCGAGTAAGAGTGTGAAAGAATTCTAAAGTCAAAGGAAAATCATGAGTAGAATTGAAGTGGCTATGAATGTTATCTATTATCATAACATACAGAATAACAAACATGTTTACCCACTGCAATAAATAGAATTGAGGCACTTTGTATAATCTACATCAGATGATTATAAACTTGATGGTGGCATTTGCGGACTTATTGTCAATGAGACTTGCCCTAATTGTACCTTTCTGTAGTTTGGCTACCAAATATGTGTCACTTGAACTCTCAGCCATCATTAAGGATTCTCTATTTCTTGTTTATTAGGAGCTTATTGAGGGAGTTACAATAGCTCAAGAACTAGGGATTTGCACCATTATCATGCACTCCTGTACATCTCTCGAGTTCAGAGGAATGTGCTCCCTTTATTTTCTAGATAGATAGTAATGGCGTCCCACTTGTAAACATAGAATAATGTACCAGAAAAAAAAGAAATAACTTTTTCTGTTACGTTTCCTTTTAAAGTCCCACAAATTTGAGAGCATGAAATAAGTGCTCTGTATTTTTGGTTTTGCTTAATTATTACATGCACAAATATTTTCTTTATTGCGTCACTTAATGTGTGGGAAAGAGAGTTATATCGATCCAAACCAGCAATT